AGCTTTGCCCAAGTTTAGATTATTTTCTTAAAATAGACTCCTAGTTCAGAGTCAAAAGTTATGAATACTGCCAGATGGCTTTGTAGAGAGGATGTACTTGAATTATAGTTCTATGATGCGTCCTATGCCTACTTCTCCTTATTCTTAACAGACTTAGGGAGTTTTGCTTCTAAGGATGCTGCATCAGCATCCCTTTTTATTTGGCAGTTTTAATTGTTAAGTATTATTGGCTAGTCATTTGAATTTTCTTTACAAATTATATTTAGATCTTTTGTGTATTTTTATATGGACCCTTAAATATTTTAAGAGCCAACTGGCATCTTTCCACAGAATCATTCATCAGTCTTAAAAAAATAAATTTCTTTTACTAATCATTATTCTATAAACTCAAAGCTTGCCCATATGAGAAAGGGAAATAACCAATTCACCCTTTATTGTCGGCAGTGTAGACCTCTCAGAGTTTGTCTGGGGAACCAGTGGTTCTTGTCCTGCCTCCAGAGTACCTTCTGAGGCATGGCAGCATTCAACAGGACTCTATCCTTCAATGTTAGTTGCTTGAGAGATTTCATGAATTCACGAAATCCTGCAATAGCACAAACCTCAAAATTTGCATCTTGGTCTTCGGTGATTGCTTTTGTTATAGTAGTAACTACAACGGTAGTTACACTTAATTGTACAGTTAGTTACATTTGGCATAATGTGGCCTTTCCCTATTTTCATGTATATGTGTGGACAAATATGTTTTATACACACACATATAATTGTAACACATATGTAACATGCTACATAAATATGAAAATACCAAGAGAGAAGCTTTTCTATTTTATAATCATGGCTACTGTTTTTTCCCTTAAGTTTACCTCTATTATATTTACTCTTAGTTTTCTTTGAAGAAACAGTCATCATTTTGGAGGCCCTAGACAGCCTCTCTGCCTTACTAACAGAAGTACAATGGCCATTGCTATAATGATGCAGAGATTCTGTAGGAAGGCTAATGAAAAGAAACTGTTGGATCTGAGCATCTATTAAAATGAAATATCAAAATAAGTAGATTCATTGCTTTCAGATTTTCTTGTAATTTGTGAGTCTTCCTGCTGTTTTGCTTCAAAACAACATACCCTGCCATGAATACTGTAGAGAAATCCACAGTTTCTAGTTAGTTAGGAATATTTCCACAAGTGTTTTCTCACCTCTCATGATAGAATAATGGATAGGGTGTCTTGTTGGACCATTTCCCTATGTGTGCAAAGATTATGTTGCTTAGCATGTGGCTTTGATAATACCTACCTAGTTTTTTTTTCATTTTGATAATTTCACCTTCCTTTCATCTTAGTAGCATGATTTTCTCATGTAATAGCTCATAACTCTCTGTTGAATGATGACCATAGCTATAGAAATGAAGACCCACAATGTAATGTCATGTCATACACATTGATTACAATGTCCAGATTCATTCTTCCTCGATGTAGCTTTTCTCCATACATTGCATCAATTTCCTTAAAGACAGTAACATGTTGACAAGTCATCATTGCACATCCATAGATTGGTCCTCAGCAGATCTATTCTGCACAGTGCTCTGTCCTAATCTGAACAGAGTAGTCATGCTGTAGCAAAGGGTCAAGGCCACAGTGTTCTCAGAGCAGTCAGGGTAATTATGTGCAGAATTTGTCAGTAGAGTTGCATAAGTTGGTGACTGCCAAATGCATAAACCCAAACCTTCTTTTCTGATCTGGTGTAGTAAAGATTCAGAGTCTTCCATTATTTAACACAGAGGCAAAAAAGTTAAATCTGTTGGATTTCTCTTAGGATAACAGGGTATTTTATTTATGCCCTTTATATGTGTATAAATACATTGAGAATTTACAGATATACAATGTACAGAAGTCATTATTGAACTTTAATATCAAACTATATAGATACATGAATGTATCTAGATAGATATAAAGAAATTAAATGGGAACAAAATTAGCACATTTATGGTCCAATAAAAATTATTAAACAAGAACAGGGCTAGATGGTTCTCGGTTTGAACTTAATTTCTTAATGTCTGAAAAATCTGAATTTGGAAGAAAGTGTATGTGGAATCCTTTCTATAATTTCTCTTTTAATATATTTCTGTTATTTCAAGTTGAGCATAAAGTCAGAACAATCTACTGTGAACCACAAAATATTTTCTGTTAGTTTAGTGCTGTTTGTGGTCAGATTTTGGCTTACTATCTTAATTCTTTGGTATTTGCAATATATTTAATATTAGAAATGGTACTGGCCCAAAACAGAATCAACCAACCAATCAACCAAACAATGGCAAAGAAGTTTACATCCAATAGTCTTTATATGAAAATAATTAGGGTTATCATTGGGTCCCCAAATCATCGTCAGTTGGAACTGGTCACCAAAGAAATAACCATACAGTTAGAAAGAATATTTCATAGTTTTCAGGAATATCGCCAAATAAGCCTGCGATACCAAGTGTTCCATGCAAATGCCAGTAACTGTCCCATTACAAAGCCAAGGACACTTAGTACTGATGGCTTTTATTGGAAGAGTTATTAGATAACTGATAAAAAAATATTAGCCATCTTAAAAGTATAACTAAGTGTAGATTAGGTTTAGTGAAAGTAATGTACATTTCCCATGATGGCTCACAACCATACATAATTCAAGCTCAGATTCCTTGGAACTTGGGTTGTGTGGCATCATAAGGAACCTAGGTCCTTTGCAAGATCAGCAAGTTCTCTTAACCACTGAGCCATCTCTCCAGCTCTATCTAGTTTATTTTATATTACCTTCTCTACATGAAGATTTTAAAATTGTGAATGCCAGAAGTTTTATCTAACATTTTCGGTCTAGCAGAATAATTTTAAGCAAGAAATGTAAGCTTTGCTCTCCATTTACTTAATTCCAATTCCAATTTACTTTTAAGAGAAATGTCAAAAATTAGATAAAGGAATGGTAAACTAAATGGACTTTAAAAATATAGTCAGCAGTGATTGTTTTGAGCTTCAGATATTTATTTACGGAACACGGAGAACTGAAAATTCTTTGCAAACCTCTGTAATCGACACTTCTCTTTAGACATGCTGTTTTCTGTTAAATACTTTTTTGTACTCCTCAGGCGTGTCATCATTAGAGATAATGGACCTACGAAGTTATAACTTCACAGCTGCTTGGATTAATGATGACTTGGACTAGGGTTTCATTGGGTAGGATTAACCATGTTTAAAGATGGCAAAATGCCATTGTAACATTAATGCCAAAATTTAATGAGAACCAGAAGTTAACTTCAAGGACCTTTATAATTTAATATGGGAGCATGATCATGTTCTCATTATTTTAATGTTGTGTCTATTAAAATAAGTTTATCTTCTTCCTTGAGACATTTTTTACCCAGGCACCATTTGTTGGATGTTGACTGTATTTCTATCAATTTTCTGGAGTATTGAGGAGTTAGACCATTTCCCTTCTTCTACTCAAACAATTTGAAAGAATGGGAAATATGTCCTTTAATTTAGGAAAGCATTTTTTTTCTTGGTTTCCTAAGATATGTATCTCCTTCACCTCTTGTTTATTTTGTTTTAAGATTTATTTAATGGGTATGAGTGTTTTTTCTACATGAATGTATGGGTACTATGTGTTTTTGTGGTATCTGTGGAGGTCATCGTGGGGCATTGTGGGAACTGAACCCAGGATCTCTGCAACATCATCTCTCCAGCCCCATCTAGTTTATTTTATATTAGCTACCTTTTTCTTTTTTGGGTTTTAATGACAAGGGTTAGGACACTGAATTTCATATGTATAGGAAGACAGAAGAGTGTTAGTTGGATACTCAGCTAAATTGTCCCACCAATGCTGATTACTTTGTTATCTGATAGCTGAACCCTACAGAAGTGGGACATAGATTTTTATATAAAATTGGAAGTATAGCAGGGAGCAGATATTTGATAATTGGATTTTTTTCTAGAGTAGTCTTTATGTAATGACGGTATATAGTGATGACTTCTAGTAAAATATGACATTTATGAAGTCCCCCCTTTTTTTCTGAACATGTCATGTTTCTATATGTTCATAGTATAAAATAATGAATGAAACCCAAGTGCTTCTTTTTTCTTTTTTCATCATCTTGTGTATACATGTATGCAAAGCAATGTTAAGGCCTTCTAAAGCATACAATATAAATCATCACCAGAAGATAGAAGAAATAAAAGGGGGCAGAGGCAGAGGAGAAATTGTATCCAATAATCCCTGATGGGGTAAAACCTCAAACATTCAGTTTGTGGTTCAGGCATCCTAGTGGCTAAGGCGAGAAATCGAACTTGGTGTGTTTTCTGATAGTAAGACACATTATCATCTATTTGTTGGAACAAGCAAGCCTTCTCAGTGTTAATAAGAATGACTTGTCCAGGAAGTTTGGATAAGAACTGATGAAACATGAAATGAATGATGCCTTGTGAGTTTTGTTTTTTAAATAAAAAATGAAAAAGAAATCAGTGCACATAGTCAATTGTTTCACTCATTGGTCTGTAGAGGACCAGGTGGAGATGGTGTTAAAATCAAGACCTATGTTCCCTAAGAATGGGGTTTGAAACTTCTGGTATATTTACTATGGAGAGAAGCTTATTTTCTTCTGACAGACATGGGGTGCAGAAGAAGGGCGCAAAGGTGGCTCCTACAGGTAGCATTGTTCAAAGTGGGAGAGTATAAATAGAATTTTTGTGGCATGATGATATTTGAAAGACTGATCCGGCCTCTGGGAAGTTTTTAAATAGGCCAGTTCCCTGTAACAGGAAGCTCGGTCTCTGTTCTGGACAGCATATCCAATTTAGGAAATTATTATTATTTCATCAAAATTAATGTGAACAATTTTCCCTTTGAGGCTGCCTTTTCCGTAGGTGATGTTTTCCAGATGGGCTTTGGACAAAATTGTTAATGCTTTGTGTTCTCTTTCCTTGGGAAAGGCACTTCTCTGACACCCTCTATTTTCCCTCTTTGTGCTATCCTAGGAAAGAGAACGCCAAAGGCCAAGGAGAAGAGAAACAAGAAGAAGAGGAGGAAGTTGACTGAAAGAGCTCAAGAGCAGCACAGCGTCTTCCTATCTACAGACAGAGCTAACCAATAAAATATAGGCAATATCTGGGGGATGTTGAGAGGGGATTTTGTTGTTGCTGTTGTTTATATTGCAAACGTGCACAAAGCTACTCTCGAATCCACACTGGTGGACAGCGTTCCTGCCGCTCCGACCAGTCTCCTTTTCCGGTAACACTGCAAAGGGAAGTGCCCAAGCATGAACTCTGAGTTATTTATGATTTGATTTGAATCTGGAACCTTGTGATAGTGGGAGCGTGTTGACCTCATCTGTGGGAGCTGATGCATGTACACTCCTGTGATGAACACCCTGTGTCCTCAGAATCTTCCCCTGGCACGGTGAGCCTACAGGAGGCATGTGGCTGTAGATCACCACCAAAGAACATACCTGCGCCTACTTTCCTGCAAGAACATGCAGAAGTGGGCAAGCGCTGTTCACTTGTGACCTTTGTTTCTCACACTGTGCATTGTCAAAGACAAGTGTGAGTGGAAATAATGCTTAGTGTCACCCACCGCACCCATGTTCTCATCATGGGTGACCTTCCAGTGATCTTGTGATGAGACTGCTTTTTAGCTAGGGGTGTTCTGTGGAAATTCCTACTCTACTTCAGCCTAGTGCTAACATGTCCAGGTTCTGCTAAGCTCCATACAAAGCTCCATACTGTATATTTATGCTTTCTGTGTGTAACAAGTCATACCTGATGGACAAGATGCCACTTTGTTTCAAGTGGTTCTCAACCATGGTTTGGTACATGGTTGTTCCAGTTTTGAGAATTGACAAATGTTTTGTTGCCGTTTGGTTTCTTCTGTTTGTATTATTTTTGGTGGGGGTGGGGTGGGCTTGTTTCTAATTGTAAGTTTAGGATAAGCTAGTTTGTACATAGAGTCAAATGACTGATGTCAGTTTCCATGCAGATAGAATTTCCCAAGTTCATCACACACACACACACACACACACACACACACAGGGTAAGCAGCATGCAGCATCTTGCCATCAGAAACCAAACTCCTTTCTTTTGAATCTCCGAGAGTTATGACTTATGAAACACAGCCAAAAGCAAGAGGACTTGTGTTCAGTTACTTGTATTTATTACAAAATTCCAAGCTTTATTTTCTTTCAAACTTAAAGAAACTCATGATATTCAATGATAGGTTACCTGGAAAAATTATTGAGTCACTGGGGAAGCTGCTAGCACGAAGCCATTCAGTAAATGAACCAGAAAATGGCAGGGTTTCACCCAACTGAGAGTCCCATCATGCATTTCTCTCTTGACCCAGGATGTCTTACACTAGAACAAAGAACTTGATGGAGGTTGCCAGCAGACACACACAGCCATGATTTCCATAACATCTTTGCCCCCTTGGATCAATCAGTCCTTTGATTTATGAATTGGCAGGCTCCAAATGCATTATCTTCCTGGCTGATCCAGGAGCAACTTAGAAAAAACTTTGTTGTTGTAGAGTTTTGAGGAAACCGCCAAAGCAAGGTAAAGCCTTTTCCCTACCTTGCGTTGGTAAAACTACCTCTTCAGTATTTTTGTTGAGTCAAAAACATCTTGCTGATATGTATAGATGTCATAAGCTTCATTATGAAAATATTGATGCAAGATAAGCCATATATGAATGTTGTATTCAACTTTAGGGCTTGCACTTAATCCTAAAGTGTCTCCTTCCCTTCATGTCTACTCACACTATATTCCTGAGTGGGGATGGGTCCCCTTAATATCATACTTCGTTGTTTATAAGTCAACACTTGTTATGTTTCTGGGCTGTTGTTTTTGTGCATTAAAAACTCAGAAATCGCTTTTGGACTTTTTCTTTTTTGAGTGCACTTGAGGAAAGCACAGTGCTTTACCAACATAACTGCCTACTTATAATCCATAAAGACATGAGAGAATATATTGATATCAGTGTCTAAGATACTCATTTCAGTAAACATTATTCCACAGTAGTTGAAAGTTGGATTTTCAAAACTAGACTGCCCAAGTTCCAATCTAGCCTAAGAAGCCTGAGACAAGTTGTTAATGTTCCCTGGGTTCTTGTCTAACTGTAGGGCTATGTTTAAAGGACTCCATTTAGAGAGGAACTACAGCCCTCTATATGTGCAGGATAATCTATGATATATATTCAAACTATGTCTCTCAAATATTTGAAAAGCATTACATTACATCCATAGTGAACATGTTATGCTTGCTTTTTTTTTTATCAGTCTTTAATGTATTTAGCAACACATAATAACACAATACATATTAGGTACTTTTTGTTAATTTTTAGTGTATGTGAAATTTGTTGATATTAAATTATGTGTAAGCATAGCACAATTTGCTATGAGAGCATCTTTGGGTTTAAGTGTCTGAAAGAACCTCTTGGAACCAATGTCATGAGGAAACCAACACATCCTTGAACAGACTGAGTTGAGAATTTGGTGATATATATAAAATGTGACCACTATAGCAAACTATTAGGTAATACACAAATGGTTGCCTGTTATTTCTTCTGTTAGCTATTTAGATATTTTTTCTCTGCAAACATTCTATCAACAAAATAGAACCTAATTTGTTCAGTGGTAGAGAATTTTGCTAGCATCCATATCATTCTAGGTCCCATCTCCCATACTGAAAATAAGTAATAGAATGAACATTTATGAAAGTATCTGGCAGCTTCAATCTATTGATTCACTCTTAGACATTGCTTAACTTTTATTCTAATGGGCATTTATTTACAACCACTTATTTATGAGTTTCTTTGTTAAAAATAATATATATGAGCACATGTGTGCATGCGCGCGCACACACACACACACACACACACACACACACACACACACACACACACATAAATCTAAAACTGAATTCATTGTTGTACTTCACAGATGGGGAGCAGTCAAGTAAATAAACCAAACTAGGTATTTCAAATGGACTCTAATATCAAGAAAATATTAATTACACAGACAATCAATCAGTTATAAAGTCAAATGAGTTACCAAGACAAGACAGATTGGAGCAATAGCAGCAAGCCACTATTGTGCTTACGGTGAGGAGGATTTGAGGAAAAGGTGGAATTTCCAAAATCTAGATATCAAGCTTAAAGCTATAGATAAGAATATAGCCAAGGACAGAGGACAGAGGACAAGGACAGAGGAGGATGTAACACCTCAAACACAACCTGGCAACTTACAGAAATGTTGCAATCTCAGAAAAGAATTGCCCAGACTTCTTCTTAATAGCTTCTAAGAGGGCTTGCCATCATCCTGACCTGTCCCCATTCCATGAACAAGGGATCCTGGGTGATGCTGTGATCCATGGAAGAGAAGAAAGATCCAAGCATGAACTGGTCAGCATACTCACCAAGGCCTGCACAAAGAACTGCATTGCATCTTGCTTTCCTCATTTAAGAGTTAGCACTTATGCTCCTGGTTAAGCAAGAGCCATTGTACTTCCCATTTACTCCTGTTCGCCACATCTTTACTGTAGCTAAATTCCAGGAAGCCTATCTTGACAGTGAGAGTTTAAATTTCTCTTTTTTTCTGGCTCCATTCTGGACTATGCTATTATGCCTAAATGTTTCTGTTCACTCACTACAAATATCCTTTATGTTCTCACTACTTCTTTTCCTATTAGCTTACATATCCTGCTACTCTATTGTTGAATACTCTCCTGTCCCTTACAGACTCTAATTTATTTCCTATTGAATACTATGTCCTGTTAGTATAGCATCCTCTTTTTTTTTTTTTTTTTTTTTTTTTTTTTTGGATTTATTTGATCTTCACATCCTCTTAATCCAAGGTTCTTACAGGGATTTAGAAAAGCCTGAATGAGCTGAGGTTAGAGTTAATGGCAGGTCTTTAGAGACTGTGTTTAACTTGCACTTGCTTAGTGTCATAGTTGATACTCTTTGGAATATAAGGACAAACATGGATTCAAACTCTGTATATGGGAGACAATTGTGTAACTGGATCTATCTGAGGGGACCCTGACAGTAGGACTAGTATCTATCCCTGGTGTGTAAGCAAGATTGTTGGAGCTAATTCCCTATGGTGGGATGCCATGCTCACCCTCAAAGCAGGGGTGAGGGACTTGGTCCTAGCTCAACTTAATGAGCAGGTTTTGTCCCCCCCCCATGGTAGCCCTTAACCTGTGGGAAGATTGAATGGGGGGGCAATCTGAGGGGAGAGGTGAGGGCGGAGTAGCAGAAGGGATGGGAGGAGGGAGAACTGTGGTTGGAATGCAAAATGAAATTTTAAAAGATAAACTTAAAAATACAAAAGTAGATGGTTCTTAAAGAGGAATGGGGGGTTGAGTAGTCTGGCAGTATGTACTGAATAAATATTTAAGCAGATTGCCAGATAAATATGAGGAATCATATTAGCAAACTGCCACATATCACCTCCTCAAGCTTAAGCAGATGTTCACATTTTTGACTCCTGAGCAAGATGCCTAGATCCCTCTCCCAAAGCAGAGTTCCAGGGTGGTACTTCTAGCATTCTGAAGTTGACAGAGGGCTACTAACTTCTAACTTTCCGGTTATATGTTAATGCCCTGAAGAACTTTTGTCTCCTCCAAGAAAATGCTTCTTATAAATGACTGTCTGACTGCCCTAATACCTCTCCTGTGCTTCTGGGGTACAGAACTTCATAAGCCTGCCTCCTGTTATGGTAGTATCTCTCTTAAAAAATGTGAGTATGGAGTGTGTATCTTTTTTTGGTAATTTTTTAGTTTAAATTTGAAACAAGTTTGTTTAATATGTCAATTCCCAGTTCCCTCTCCCTCCTGTCCTCCCCTGTCACACTTCACCAACCAGCAGGAGAGAAGTATGCTCTGATTTCTGTTTGTTGTTCTCTATGTCTTCTGTGTGAAAGGTAGATCATTTATAGGGAGAGCATGGAGAAAAATTAGTAGGCTATTGCATTAATGTGATGAGAATCCATACAGCATTGGTTACTGGGTGGTATTAAAGAAAAAGAGGAGGGGCAGGTCCTTGGGGGTCACAGGAGCTGGATATGAGAAAAGGGAGGAAATGGAGCCAAGTTGTTGTCTAGGTCTCTTGTTCTGAGTAACAATACTTATGGGACAGAATTGGCAATAACTGCTTCTACATTTCATTTGCTAAACTTGAAACAGTGTTAGGTAACTAAGGTGACACAAGAAGGTTGTTTACAAATATGGACTTTAGGGGAAAGGTCAAGGCCAGAATGTAATTTTGGAATATATTGGGGTGTAGCATTTTCTTCGTGTCTATGAAAGAATACAGATGGGAGAAGAGCAGCTTTGGGGCACTTAAGTCTTCAATCTCAACCAGATGATGGGATGAAAATAGACATGAAAAGGTATCCTAAGAGGAATACCAGGAGCAGTGGCCAAGAAGAGTTGCTCTGGACATTGTTTTTATTTCTTTATTTATTTTTATTTACATTTGAAACAAGGTTATTTTACATGTCAATCCAAGTTCCCTCACCCTCCCATTCTTCCCTATCATACCCACCAAACCCCAGCCCATCCCCTTTCTGCTCCCCAGGGAGGATGAGACCTTCCATGGCAATTCTTCAAAGTCTATCATATTTGGGACAGGGCCTAGGCCCTCCCCAATGTGTCTAGGCTGAGAAAGTATCCCTCTGTGTGGGATGGGCTCCAAAAGTCCATACTGATCTACTAATGTCCACACTCGGGGCTTCTGGGTCTGTCCTATGCTGGTTTCCCAGCTATCAGACTGGGATGCAGCTCCCTCTTGTTCAGGTCATCTGAATCTGTGGGTTTCTCCAACATGGTCTTGACCCCTTTGCTCATCACTCCTCCTTCTCTGTAACTGGATTCCAGGAGTTCATCTAGTGTTTAGGGTATCTGCTTCTGCTTCCATCAGCTACTAGATGAAGACTCTAGAATGACATATGAGGTAGTCATCAATCTCATTATTGTGGAAGAGCATTAAAGGTAGCCTCTTTACTATTGCTTAGATTGTTAGTTGGGTTCATCCTTGTAGATCTCTGGACATTTCCATAGTGCCAGATTTC